ATATGTGTAGACCTGTTGTACAGCACTTGTCTATTGTGTCATAAGCCCTAGGTTCAATCCCTAGCACTGTAAAAAAAACACCAAAAACAGATATATCTGTGGTTCAGGAAGTTTTATACAAAAAACAAAAGGTTGGGAACGTAGCTTAGTGGTAGGCAGAGTGCTTGCCTAACACGTACTAGGCCCTGGGTTCAATCCTCAGCATACTACCCCTCCCCCAAAAGTGTTAATAAAAAAAGGAAAAGAAAAATTAAAGGATAGGATACAGTTCACAAAACCACAGGTTACAATTCTTTCATCAAACAATGTACAATTTTGGCCAAAAAGTTAAAAAAATGTCACTTTTATCACTATAAAGATTACAATTCACAATGAAGAAATTATGAACATACATGCTTCAAGTAATAAAATTCAACATTCATAAAGCAGAAATTATAAGGGGTATAAGAAGAAACAAACACTAGGAAACTTAAAATTTATTTTTCTTAGTCTGAAAAGAAAAATAAATACAGAAATAACATGATCAAAATGGCAGTTCTGGTGGATATTAATTTCATTCTACCCTAATTAATATCTTTTGAAATACCTATACAAAAACTGACCATATATTAGGATATAAAAATATCTCAACAAATTCTAAAAGTAGAAATACAAGCAGATTGTCGATGTTCACTTGTGTTTCCAGCTTCTTGGCAATCTGAGGTGGGAGGATCACTTTGAGCCCATGGGTTCAAAACCAACCTAGGCACACCAGTGTCTTTAAAAGGCAAACAAAAAACAAAAACAAAAACAAACATCCAAAAAACAACTACATTCTCTAATTAACAACACATAAAACTAAAAATTCAAAACAAAACCAGAAAACTAAAAGGCCTTTAATCTGAAAATTTAAAAATTCTCAATATGTAAACCTTAGGAAATATAATGAAATCTGTGGAGTTTATGATAAAATACTGCAAATTAAAAGCTTTGTAATAAAACTAAAACAGTGACCAGAAAAGAAGTCATTACTTTAAATACTTTGTTGTTTGGTTTTGGTTTTTGAGACAAGATCTCGCTATGTAGTTCAGACTGGCCTCAAACTCACTATGTAGTCCAGGCTAGACTTAAATTCATGGCAATCCTTCTGCCTCAGCCTCCTGAGCATTGGGATTACAGGCATGTGCCACCACATCTGGCCCTATTTTAAATACTTTTACTAATAATAAAAACTAAAAGTAAGTTATTTATGTTTAAGAGGACAGAAAAATAAATTTAGTTAACTGAATAAAAGTAGAGGAATAAAATAAAAACAAAAGAAATTAAGAAGATAGAAAACAGAAAGCCAGAAAAACTTTTAAAAAAAATTTTAAAGCTTTTCTGCTGGGGAGGAAAAAAAAAAAAATCAGAGGACTAAATAAATACTAGCTACTCTAATCAAGAAAAACAAAGTGTAATTATGCAAAGTAAGAAACTGGGGAAAACCACAGAAATAGAGAAAATTTCAAAAAATATTAAGAAATTGCTCTGTAAAACTGTATAAACTATATTAAATCTGCATAAAATAATTTTCTAGTAAGTAATATGACCTATAAAAGTGATCCTAGATAACCTTTGTGAACAAAATTTATGAAGCAAGTATTAAAAACTGCCCACCAAACAAAATGTAATAAAGAACACTAGGTCATATTACAGGGGCCATTTTACAGGTAAATTCTCCTAAATCTTCTAAGGGCTGAGAATTTTAATATTATGTGATAATTGTTGTATACTGTAGAAAAAGGAAAAATTCTTAATTTTTAAATGAAATATAGTATTAAAATCAAAACTTGAAAAAAACTGCACAGAAAAAGAGAGAACTGCAGATTCACCTTACTTTTGCATTTTAATTTAAAAAGTAGGGTTTCAGTAAACAGAGTGCAGTATAATCACTACTATTTAATAATACTGTCCTTGTCTAAATTAGTTAATATAAGTTCATAAGGAAAAAATTAGAAGCATAAAAATCTAAAAGAAGAGCTAAACCTAAAGCTATCTATAGATGATATGATTGTAAGCTACAAATCCCATGAAAACCCCTTTAAAAATGCCATAAACCATAATGAAGTTCAATAAGACATAAAAATCAGTACACAGAAATTAAGTCTTCATGTATGTGAACAATAATCACTATAATCTATAAATCTAATAGCAACAAAAGACAGAAAATCTTTAGCAATAACAAGAAATAGGGAAAATTTATGTGAGGAAAAGCTTTAAAACTCTCCTGAGGGAAGCAAAATAGACATACTATGTTCCTGAACACAAGAATACCTTAAAGATGCCAATTTGTCCTAACTTAATTTATAAAACAAGACCTCAATAAAAATAACAACCTGTTCCCCAGCTTCTATAAAGCTTATGTGATAAAGTAAGAATTAGCCCTATCAGATATTAAAAGTCATAAAGGGGGGCTGGGGGTGGAGCCCAAAAGTAGAATGCTAGCCTAGCAGCCTAACATGGACAAGGTCCTGGGTTCAATCCTCAGCACAGCAAAATAATAAATAAATAAAGGAAATAGTTGACCAATACATAAGTGTGTGTCTGTGTATGAGCGTATCCATCAGACAAGCTTTTGTATGGCAAAAAACCAACAACAAACAATTCCACCACACAAAGGTCAAAGACAAATAATTTAGGTATAACACCTGCAACTCATATTACAGGCAAAGAGTTAATCTTAATTTAAAAAGCACTCTCAGTAAATGAGACCAAAAATCCAGTAAGAATAAAGGACAAAGGACACAAACCACACAAGCAGTTCATTAAAAAAGAAACACAAATGGCCTGGGGGTACAACTCAGTGGTATCAGTTCATACTTGTCTAGTATGAACAAGGCCCTGGTTTTGATCCCCAGCACTACAAAGAGAAAGAAAAACAGGAGGGAGAGAGAGGGAAGGAAGGAGACAGATAGAGGGACAGAAGGAAAGGAGGGAAGTGAGACAAAGGGTCTGACATAAGTGAAAAGGTAGTCAAATGCAAATTAACAGCACATAAGGAAACTATTTCTTGCAAATCTGATAGACAAAAATCTAAGAGTTTGATAATTCTTGTGGCAAAGACATAAGAAAATAGGTACTCTCACTCACTGATCCAAAGTATCTGTGACCTCTACGGAGGGAAATCTAGCAATAGCAATCAAAATTACAAACACATTTACCCTTAACCCATGAACTCACCTCCAAGAATTTATCTTACATATATATCTACATACAAATGAAATGATGTTCTGAAACAGCAGGTAACTGAGAACAGTTCCAGTATACATCTAAAAGGGATTGGTTAAACATGTCCTCTCTCATTTTCACAAAGGCAGATGCTGCTGGAAAAAAATGAGGAAACTATGTACTGATCCAGAAAGATGAAGGATCCTTTGAAGATCGGCCAATTCCAGATACTGGGCAAAAATATATGATGAGTCAAGATTATTCTGCTATGCCAGAAAGTAAGGAAGACATCAAACATTAATGAATTAGCAATAGGATATCGTACTCTCCCACATAAGCATTCCATCTAATAGAAAAATAATAAAAAAGGAAAAATAACAGAATTTGAAAAAGTTACCAACTGATGATAATCTCTAGTAAAATATATGATTTGTGTAACAATGATCAATAATCTCTAATCTACAGGTTACTTTTAGCACCATTAAAATTGGGATAACTAATACTGTGCATTTACCAGCACGACACAATATAAAATATTTATTAAGTATTCTGAACTAGAATTGACTTAAACTTCTAGGGTTAACTTTCATTTCAAGGAAATATAGAGGATAGAGGAACAAAGCAATGATACAAGAAAATAAAAGACAAACTCAGCTTTGGAAAATATTTTATAGGTCAAGTGATCAAGTTTCTACAAGTTAGTGATATAAAAAGGAAAGAAAGAAATCCAAACAAACAAGAAGGAAGGAAATAGGACTAGTAGATTAAAAAAGACATAATAACCAATTATGGTATGTGGATCTTGTTTTGATTAGAATCAACTAACTAGAAAAAAACATATTTGAGAAAATAAAGAAAAAAAGGACTATGAGGAGGATATCAGTATAAAAATTATTAATTTTCTTACATACAAAAATGATATTGGTGCTGTGTAAGATAATGCACAAGTTTTCAGAGATATGTACTGAAGCAGTAGGGATACACAACATGGTGTCCAGAATTTAATTTAAAGTACAGGACAAATGGAGACAGAATAACCAAAGGTAGAAAAATCCTGACAATCTGAATAATGGCTACACGTATGTAATTTATAATGTTCTCTCTACTTTTATATAAGCTTAAAAATATTTGTAAGACAGTACCTGAAAATGAGAATGCAATTAGCAACACTTTAGGTACTAGCAGCAGGCATAATGCCTGGGGTCACCATGACCTACAGACTTACAGACTATTTCTTTTTGTTTTTTGAGACAGGGTCTCACTGTAGTTCAGGCTGGCCTTGAACTCAAAGTGATCCTCTGGCCTCGGCCTTCCAAGTCCTGGGATTACAGGCACGCACCACTATGCCTGGCTCCTTATTTCTTTACTGTATGTATTTTACAAAGAAATGTTGACTTTGAGTTAAAAGGACAAAAGAGGGGCCGGGGATTTAGCTCAGTGGTTTCGCTGCCTGCTGTGCAAGCGCAAGGACCAGAGTTAGAGTCCCAGTACCAAAACAAACAAACAAACAAACAAAACCAAAAAAAGCGGACAAAAGTGAATTAGTTATGAAAAAAGATTTCTCAGATGATTACATTAAGGCTTTTATGTTTGTTTTCATGTGCTTGCTTCATGTATAGTAGCATTCCACACAAATTCTGCATAAAAGCTTCCTAAATGAAATGTAATAAAAATATAAAGGTTTTTCCAGTTTGTCATAATACATTTTCAAATATTACTTCAAGAGGTCAGTACATATAAATACACAAAAACACACACACACTGCTATATAGAAATCAACTACCCAATTCAGAATATGGTTTCAGTTCTCTTACCATCGATATTAAGCATCATTTTCCACATGGCAGGTCGAACAGATTGATGGAATCCAAACCATACTTCCCTGCCCCCTCCCAGAGGGTGGTCATATCCTTCTGGAGCTGAGAAAAAGGAACGCCCCACAGGTGTGTATCTACAAAAATTAAAATGGCATGTTCAATCCTTTCCTTCCTGTGTAAGTATTTAAATCTGCATAGAAATGGAGACTAAAGCACAAGATGGTCATAATTATTAATATATGAAACAAAATGTTTTCCAAATTTATGAAAGCAAAAAGTAGCCATTCTAAATGAAAAAAATTTAGCAACATCCTTCACTAAAATTATCCATTTTCAGAATTGTTAATTTGCATATCAGTTAAGAGTTTTTTTTGGTACCGGAGATCGAACTCAGGACCTTGCGCTTGCAAGGCAGGCAAACATATCAGTAAGTTTTATTTAAAATACTTTCTTTAAATAGTTTGTTTTTTTTTTGGGGGGGGGTACCAGGGATCAAACTCAGAACCTTGCACTTGGCGAGGCAGGCGTAGTGCCTCTGAGCTAAATCCCTGGCCACTTAAATAGGTTTTAAACAGTTAACAGTTCCAACTTATATAATACTAAATAAATAATCAAAAAATTTCTATAAACGTTTCAAGATATACTAAGAAACTTACACACACACACCTCCAGTATACATATACACACTGGAAATGCTAGTGTGATTAAGAGCAGCAATTTCTTTCTTTTTTTTTGGTACCAGAGATTGAACTCAGGACCTTGCACTTGCCAGGCAGGCATGGCGCCACTGAGCTAAATCCCCAGCCCAAGAGCAGGAATTTCAACATAATTTGACACTATTGTTTGAACAGTAAAATTTACTTTTAAAACAAGGCAATTTAACTACAGGACTATATCTTAAAATATATCAGTTATTCAAGATCTATAGCTCTATGAGAAAGAGTGAGACATTTTTCTATAAAAAATTCATTAGAACAGCTAAGCTAATGATGTGTATTTATTTACAAAAGTCAGAAAATGTTCTATAACTTAATTCTGTCAATGAACTTATAGGCATGCTATTTTACTTTAAAAAATAATCAAAATTCACAACACATGAAGGTTAACCAAGGAAGGCCTGTACAACTCACTCTTAGAAGGAAAACCTTCACACTGAAAATCTAAAGAGGAAAAAAAGCCAGAAGCACCCACTTCATGGAAGGCAGATGTCGTAGCACCACATCAACGGCATGGACAGGGTTAGTGCTGATTGGCTTGTCTAATTCCAGTGGCTCAGGCAAGGTCCGTCCTGTCAGTACTTCATGCAGTAGGTGCCAACTCACCCGAGAGACAAATTTGATTGACACCTTGAAAGGTCGATCTTTTCCACCTTCCCCAGGTAATGTAACATCTAAATCTACCTGTTCACGGGACAAAAGTAAAGTGGCAAATGTTTAAAAAAAAAAAACAAAACTACAATCATTTAAAGTTTAATTAAAAAACTCAGAGAAAATGCAAAAATTAAAAATGAATCTCAATGTCAAATCAATAGACTAAAATGCAAATAACATGGTTATTCATGCCAGTATTATTGCAAAATGCTGAAAACTACCTAACATACCTAAATGTTATGCCCTAACATTTAAGCAGCTATAAAACAAATGAAGATCTTTTACAACTGCTGTGGAATAATTTCCAAGACATACTATTAAATTAACAAAGCAAAGTGCAAAGGATTACAAATAGTAGGATATCTGTTGTGTAAGGACTAAGGAGGAAATAAAAAATATTCACATATCTGCTTACTTTTGGAAAAAGAAACACAGGAAGCAGGAACCAGAAAAGAAGAAATTGGTTATTTTAAAGTATGGAAGGGTATTAATTAGAATAAGGGAGGAATAATTCTAGGTACAGTATATACATATATATATATATTTTTTGGTACTGGGGATTGAACTTGGGACCTTGAGCTTGCAAGGCCAGAACCACTGAGCTAAATCCCCAGCCTACAGTATATTTTTCTGGTATAGTTTTGACATTTGGAAACACATTAAAGTTCTACACAGCTGGGCAGCAGTCTCAGCGATGGGCAGCTTAGGTGGGAGGATCACTTGAGTCCTTAGAGTTCAAGACCAACCAGCCTGGATAGCACAGTGAGGCCCCTATCTCAGAAAAATAATTTTTAAAGGTTCTGTATATTTAAAAATTTTTTTAAGAATCAACAAGGATAGAGGGGAAAAATTAAGCCTAAGTATAAGCAAGATCAAATAAACTTGAATGTATTTCAAATGATTAACATAATCACCTTAAAAAAAAACATTAATGCAAGTAACTGTGTATTAACTAAAAGGGGCAAGGGTGAAGAAGGATGGTTTGGAAGAATAACTGCATACAAATGAAGCAAATTCTTTTTTCCAGTACTGTACTGGAGATGGAAACCAGGGTCCAACACATGCTAAGCAAGTCACTACTGCTGAGCTACTTCCCTAACCCCCTCCCCTTCCTTTTTCCTTCTTTTTTCTTTGTTTTAAGAAGGGCATAACATTGGGTTACAACCCATCCCATAGTTTTCTACTAAAAATTTGTACTTTAGCATAATAGTAGCCAGCTGTGTATCTCAGTTGCTGTGCCTAGGGGATACAGGAAGCAATCTTTGTTTACCCACTTGGTATGATGAATGGCAAGGTGTGTGCATGTGTCTGAAAGTGTCAAACTGGGATTTTTACCCACATAATGTGGCATCTTGCACATGTTTGATTACCTGAGCATCACGGGGTAAAATACACCCATACCATTGTGTTACGAAAACATGTATTTTAACATAATAGAATGTGGGTGTGACTCACAGTAGCTGCACATGGGAAAAGAAAAAAACCCATCTGTGCATTCACCCACTTTGCAGATGAACAGCAAAGTGTGTACAGGAGCTCCAAAGCAGCAACAGGTGAGTTTTACCCATGAAATGCTCATTGCTAAATTTAAGTGCATTTAGGATTAGTTTTTTTTTTTTAAGTTTTCTTTTGAGTTTTCCGGCAGAAGTAGCCCAATTCAGTACAATGGCAAATGAAAAGCCAGATTTGCAAGTTTTGGAGGAGGTCAGAAGTGATGAAGATGATAATGACTTTGATATTGGCCATGTGAACGAAAGTTCCTGTGACAAAGAAATGGAGCAAGAATTGACTGATACCAACACAGGGAATGCAGGCCTCCTTGATTCAGATGACAAAGAAAACAGCAATGTGAGTGCATATTTGACTAGTTGAAATGTTGCAAAATGATCAGGCAATGAATAGAAAGATCCAATGTTTGAACTAGGTGTGAAAAATATAGTAAGGGTCTTGGCAGGGGTGAAACCTATCAGACAGAATGCCAGTACTGCCATTCGATGTTGGAAATTGTAATAGATGAAATGCTACAAGATGCTGTGAAATACACAAAGGCTGAAATACAAGTAAAATGTGTGCACCAATAGCCATATTCAAAAAAGTATTTATTATGACACCTCACTAGCTGAACTGAAACCATTCATACGTCTGCTGTACTTAGTAGAAATTTCTCATGGTAATCGCACAAATGTAAAAGACTTCTGTAGAAAAGTGATGGGTCAAAATATGGCATAAAAATTTACGTTCTTGTAGATGTGAAGACTTATTATGATTTCAATTTAGAAATTTATCCTGGAACTCAGCCACCAGGTCCTTATTCATACAGTAATAAACTGAATGATGTTGTGAACATACTTGTTGCTCCCATCTCCCAAACTAATTGGAATGTGACATTCAATAATTGATGTTACATTTGCTAACAGCGCACAAGTTGACCAGTGTAGGAACTGTATGCAGGAACAAAGCAGAAATTCCAAATGAAATGTTGTAATTTCAAAACAGACAATTGTATAGTACAATCTTTGGATTTCAGAAAGATTTACACTGGCCTCGTTATGGCAAATAAAAACAAACTGGTACTGCTGATATCAACACTGCATCATGATGGAAATATTGATAGAGAAACCTCAACAAAATGGAAGCCTAAGATGGAAACATTCTACAACAAAAGCAAAGGCAGAATAGATATTGTTGATGAGTTATGCAGCAACTATGATGTCACCTGAAACACAAAGTGTTGGCCAATGGTTGTGTTTAACTTGATCCTAAACATATGTAGCATAAATAGTTTGAGGATTGAGACTGGAACTCCTAAGAGATCATTTACAACAGAGGAAAAACAGAATGTTTCTGTCCAGGGAACTACACACAAAAAAATTGTGGAGCACACTGAACAGGCAGGCACAGCATCCCAAAGACCTATGACAACAGGAAAACCAAAAGGATGTCAACTGTGCCCTACAAGAAGGGACAGGAAAACAAATATATGTGCTATCACGTATATTTACACTTATACATATAAGTGACACTTGTAAGGGAGCTTGCAGTTTTCATGTACAAAGACTGCCTTGGCTGTGACAGTTGAAGCAAAAGATTCTTTCTGCAGGAGACTTTTGTTTGTATTTACACAGTTCACATAGGTTTTTTTTTTAGTGGCATGGACTGAAGTCGAGACTTTGCACTTGTGAGGCAGGTGCTGGAGGAACCACTGAGCAAAATCCCCAGCCCATGTTTTTATTTCTGATGTTATTGTTTAGGTTTTGTAAGCAAGTACACAGCTTGTGTGAAAATGCTGATGTCTATTCTAAGTACTCACTACATATTTGATAATTTATTTTATTGATATCTTTTTTCCTAAGTGCACATTGTACAATATAGTAGGAAGCTCCTGACAAAACAAGTGTGTTTAAAGCAAGGGAGAGTATTTTGAGAGGGATTATGGCAATGTGTCTTACTTTTTCTTTTTTTTTTGAGACAGGGTCTCGTCATATAGTTTCATACATATGTATGTATGAAAATGCCACAATGAAATCCAAGAAAAACATTTTTTAAATGCTTAGAGACATTATATTGGGAAGGTAGTCTTATGAGTGATTTATCTTTGGTTTCATTGTTTTGCAAGTTGAGTAAGTTTTTTAAATGATTCAAACAATTAAAGGTGGACTGATTGTGAGAATGTAAAAAAGGAGTGAAAGAACCTGAATAGATATTTATCCAAAGACATATAAATGGCCAATAAATGTAAGAAAAGATGCTCAGTATCACTACTTATCAGGTGAAATGCAAATCAAAACCACAATGAGATTGCTTCTCATCCTTATTAGGTGGCTACTAAAAAAAAAAAAAGGCCCAGAAACCAAGTATTAGCATGGATGTCCAGAAATGGAAACATTTATACAATGTTGGTTGGAATGAAAAACAGTGCTTCCTCTTTGGAAAACAGTATAGTGCATTTTTTTTTGGTACCAGGGATCGAACTCAGGAGGCAGGCCACTCTTGCAAGGCACCAGTGCCACTGAGCTAAATCCCCAGCCCTGCGTTTTTAAAAAATTAAAAATAATTACTGTATGATCCAGTAATTTGACTTTTAGTTATATACTCAAAGAAACTAAAGCGGTCTCAAAGGGATACTTGTACACCACATTTGTGACAGGATTACTTACAATAGCCAAAAGGTCTCCAACAACAGATGAACAGCTAAAACAGAATGTGTTGTATACATACAAAGGAATATTATTAAGTCTTCAAAGGGAAAAAAAAATCCAACATATGCTACAACATGGATAAAGCTTGAGGATATGATGCTAAGTGAAATAAGTCAGTCACCAAAAGACAAACACTTCATCATGATTCCACTTATATTAGGTACCTAGAGTGGCCTGGTTCATAGTGGAAGAGAGTGGTGGCTGCCAGAGGCTGAGTGCTGAGGGCAATGAAGTTTTTGTTTAATGAATAGTGTTTCAGCTTAACAAGAAAAAGATAGTTCTGGAGATGGATGTTGCTGATGATCACAAAAGAATGTTAATGTACTGAATTGTACCTTAAAATGGTTAAGATGGTATATTTTATGTTACATGTATTTTACCACAATTTTTTTAAAGAAAGTATTTCCTCACAAGATACTTACTAACTACAAGGAGAAAAAAATATCTTGATAGGAGAAATCTGGCAGATATCAATTTAACCAAGAGATTAAAGTTAACATCACCTTTAATGGACTTAAACATATTATATACCTTTCCCACATGAAGCACATAAAATGGAAAGAATGTATATGTAATATTCCTGTCAAAAATACATAACCAAAAAAAAAAACCAAAACAACAACAACAAAAACATAACTAGAATGTATTCAAGGGGAAGCATGAGACAAACCTAGACTGAGAGATATTCTACAAAATAACTTGCCTGTAACCTTTTTTTTTTCCCTTTGAAACAGGGTTTCCCTATACAGTTCAGACTGGCCTTAGACTCACTACGTAGCCCACGCTGGCTTCGAATTTGGAGCAATCCTCTGCCTCAGCCTCCCAAGTATTCGGATCACAGGCATGTGCCACCATGCCTGCCCTTGCCTGTAATCTTGAATCATTTTAACATCATGAAAGAAAAAAAAAAGCTAGGAAATCATTCTATAATAAAGACTAAAGAGACATGCTGTATGTATCATGATTCTGGACTAGATCTTGTATCTGAGAGGAGAAAGATGCTATTAACAAGATCATTGAAACAACTGACAAAATTAGAATATGGATTGCTGATTAAAGTATCATATCAATGTGAAATTTAATGAAGTTAACAAATATACCATGGTTTTTATCTTTATTTTTAGGAAATACCCATTAAGGTATTAAAACATTAAAGTAGTATGATATATACAACCTAACTGTTAATGATTCAGGAAAAAATACACATAAAGCCCTATGTATAGCTAAAAGGAGAGGAAAAGAGTAAGAAAAAAATGATAAAACTAATGTGGCAAACAGTAAGGACATTGGTGAATCTGGGGAAAGGACAAATGAGAGTTCTCTGAATGCTTTTTACAACTGTTCCATAAATCTGAAATTATTTCAACAAAGAAAGTTAAAAAATCTAGGTAGTGTGGCCGAGTGGTCTAAGGCACTGGATTAATAAAGTTAAAAAATCTAAATGTTATAGATGTATACATTTATATAGATTATAGTATAAAATAGTAATAAATTCATTTAAAAGGAGATATGGGAAAAGTGTATCTTTACAATAAAGGAATGTACATCTTACCCCAGTAGTTGCCACAGGAAGTGGATTAGCTGTATAAAGGCTTCTTTTTCCATCATATACTGGTCTACGGTCTCCAAAGATAGTTACTTTAAAATGCTGAACCATTGAGTCAACAACCTCCCTAAAGAAAGAAAAAAAAATTCACATAATATTCTCAAAATGAAATACAAAAAAATATTAATTGAAGTAATTTCTGGTACAGTTTCAAGCCATCAAATTTTAAAAGACATTCATTCATATGTGATAAAGATTTTGCTTTCAGAACCACGATTTCAGATAGCAAAAAGGCTGACTGATGCTGGCAAAGGATGACATGTATTTCCCAAAGACAAGAACAATGAATCCAGTAAATTAATCATTCTAGGACACAACTGACCTGCAAAATATTCTCTTAGAAACTCACTCAAAATCTCTTTCATTCCCTGACATATTTACCTCTCTTTTGCAAAGCATAAGATGCTCTTTCGATTGTGCTAAAATAATTCCTAGTACTACTAGAGAATAGTGTTCTTTAGTAGAACTCAGTCTATTGCATTATAATTATTATTTACCTCATTGCTACTGTGAGCTTCTTGGGAACAACAAACACACCTGGATTCCTTCCCTATCCTTAAAACCATATCTAGTCTGTAAAGATACCATGAAATTTCCATTTTTAACCAGCAATCTTTTTGATCCAATATACTGAAGTGGAAAGATATTCAAGACTCATACGTTAAAAAAAAATTGATCACTGAGAATGATACTAATTATCTACAAATTAACATTTCTGTACATACATATTCACATATTCATAAAGCAGTGAAAAGGCATCTGGAAGGATATAAGATACAGAGATACAGTGCTGCTGGGCATGGTAGCACACACCTGTAATCCCAGCACTCTGGAGGCTAAGACAGGAGTCTGAGGCCACCATGGGCACCACAGTGAGTTCAAGGCCAACCTGAGCTACACAGTGAGACCCTGTCTCAAACAAAACAAAACAAAACAAGAGAAATACTTCTGGAAAAGAATGTGACAGGGTTACAGTAACTTTTATTTTGTTTACACAATCTAAATATATCGCAATGAGAGTAGTGTCACATAGTATTGATATGATTTAAAATGAAATTAAACTACTCAAATCCAACCCAGGCAAGTGGGGAGGGAAGAAAGGAAAAAAAATTAGCATTTCCTAGAATAAGAATAACAAAAAATCAAGCTGACATTACACACAGAGCAATTTTCTAGATGACACAAATTTCTCCCTCCTTTCTCATTGTCTTACTAAACCTATGTAAATCAAGATCAAGTCATACTGGAGTAATTTTGATAACGAAGATTTGCTTTACCTGTCAGTTCTTGGGTTCAAAACAAAGTTCAATGATTTTCTGCCACTTTGTCTTTTGTGGCCATTAAACCAAGTCAAGGTGTTTCTCAGGTGTAATTACTGGGATCTAATTTGTCAGGATGTTTTGACTATTTTGTCATGTGTAAAGTTAACACTAAACTTAAACTTACTAATTCCTGGCAACCCAATCAAACCACTGTAAAGATTAAAATGTTGGAGGAGACTAAACTGGTAGGCCAAAAACATCTTAGTGATTTTTTAAAAACCCTTGTTTTGATGACCTAGTACACAGTATCTCCTCAATGCTCTAGAATAGATAATCTACTTTAATGATCTGCCAGAACCTCTAAAGGAATGTATTAAAGTTGAATTCAATATATTTTCCCTCAGTTGAATCCGGTTTTTTTGATTATTACTCCTGTCTAATTAATGGTGCTTCCATCTTTCTGCTTACCCAGATTCAAAATATGTCTCATCTCTTTACGTAATCAGTCATTGACTTCACCTCTATGCAGTATTGCTTACACCAGTCCTTTACTTTTCCATTCCAAATAAACACTTCAGGTCCTAGAACTTGGATTATTTCTTGTAAGTTTCTTGGTTTTTATGCCCCTAGTGTTTTCTTCTCATCCTGATTTATACACCACTGCCAATTAAGTCACTCACCACCACTTTCATTGCTTAGGTAAAAAATACTGAGTTAATCATACTTCCTAGTTTGTGGCACATTATCAACTGTGTAAGACCCTCCTTATAAGTAATTTATTTCTTTCTTTCCATCTCCATTTCCTATTCACATCCTTCTTCCCAATCTCCAATGTGCTCGATGAACATCTTCCTGTTTGTATGTACTTCTATCTTTACCTTCTACACTGGAGTTTAAAAATCTATTCATGTTGCTGTGACATGCTTAGTTCACTGTTTCTATTAAAAATTATTTTTCATTATTTTCAAAAACTGTGAAAACCAGTTGTAAATAATTTAAGTGTCATTTAGTTGTTTCTGATTGAGGTAAGGCATTCCACATGTTATCTATCCACTCCCCCAGCCAGAAGCCTTGTATCTTTCACTCCCAGTCATCCAAACTAATGCTGCAATACATTATCTCTTTACACCTCCCCTTATCAACTTGTGTGGCAACTCATCTCTGGATATATACCCAGAAAACAGACTGAGAGTCAAAGTGAACTTTATCAACTTTGATAAAATTATGAAGAACTGCTAAATTACTCTCCAGAATGGTTACACTATTCCTATTTCCCTATACCCCAGGCAAGATCTGGCATTATCTAGCTTTGCTTTCTACTATTTGCTAGCCTGATGGGTATAAACTAAAAGGTTGTTTTAGATTTCTCTTATTACTAATGAATGTGAGCATCTGTGTGCGCCTCTGTTTTCTCTTTTGCACAATTCCCAATTTTCTCTGCATTTTTCTAACTGGGGATCTAGTCTTACTGAATTGAAGGCATTCCATTTATACTCTAGAATTAACTCAGATGGGTTTAGTTATTATAAATATCTATTCCCACAATGTTAGCTGTTGACAATGTCCATGTATCTGTTGAACTGAAACTAGTAATTTGGTATCATCAAATTAATCTTTTTTTAATCTTATAATTTCATACTTCTGAGGTGCTGTTTAAGAAATATTTCCTGGGGCAGGGATATATAGCTCAGTGGTTCCGCCACCTGCCTCACAAGCACAAGGACCTGAGTTCCAGCCCCAGTACCAAAAAAAATAAAAAAGAAAAGAAAGAAATATTTCCTAACGTAAGTATTCCTTATCAGAAACGCTTAGAAACAGAAATTCTTGAGCCTCTGTGTATACATTGTGAGATATTTTGGGGGAAGGAACCCAAGTTTAAACACAAGATTAATTTAATTTATGTTTCATATACACATAGCCTGAAGGTAACTTCATATAATATTAGTAATTTTGTGCACAAAACTAAGTTTCATGGTATAGAATTTTCCACTGTGGTATCATGTTGGTGTGCAAAAAGTTTTGGATTCTGGAGTATTCTGAATTTTGGATTTTCAAATTAGGGATGTTCATCTTGTAGTAAATCACACAATTAACTTATATGCTTCATTAACTTTAGTTATATTATTTTGGGCATTAATTCATTTGAGGTTTTTCTTTATAAACAGTAAATACTCAACTTTATTTTTCTCTATATAGTTAACCAATTTCCCCCATACCATCTACTATACAATCAATATTTAACCAATTTGTAACAGCACCCTTATCTTATTAAATTTTCATATACAAACCAAGCTGGCTATATGTTCTCCATATTGTTTCAGTGGTCTATTTTCTTGCCCTTATGCCAGGACCATATGTTTTCATTATTAATAAGCTGTTTTATTATGTTGTAATATGGACCAGGGCAAGTTCTCTCAGTTTTCCTAAGGAAGCTTGAACATTTATGGAAACTTATTTTAGAAAAGCTTTCCACCCTAGAAAACTGTCAGTATCAATAAGGAAAGAAAACCTAGCTAGCAAACGAGCATAAAGCAAATAAGTATCTGTTAGTTAAGAAATCCCCAAATAACATGGGAGATATGATTAATATGCTAAAAACATACGTAACTGTGTTAAAAGCCATGATGAACTACATCCATGAACTAAATGAAGAAACATAATAAGAGCAACTGTCATATCTAAACACTTATGTTTGAAAAATTTAATTGTAATCATTACACCTGAGAGGATCCCAAGTTATCCAATTCTCTTGCAGAAAGAGCCTTTAGACAACTACAAGTCCAAAATGAGCTAACAGTGTCATGGGGCTTCCTCCAAATTAAAGAACTAAAGTTGCATATATTTAGGTACCCAAATAATAAGCCAGGTAACTATCTACCATATATTATACAAGTAATTTCATATTTTGAAGTATTCTTTTCAATTTGGAAAAGTTGAAGACCATAAACACTGAAGGTAACAATCCTGATAGAAATTCATGTGATAAAAGTAAAAATAAATCAAACTAAGGACTTTTAGTCTGAAATAAGAAAATTACAGAAGACTGGCTATTTTCATGGATTGTCATGTGAAAAATTAATTAGAAATCTACCTTGTATAGGAGGACAAAACTGGGAGCTAGATTTTGGAACAAAAATTTCCAAAATTTCCTAACTGCCATAGTTATTCAAAAGTGGATTTTACTACCTTATGAAGCACCTGAATTCATCCTTGCTTTGCAATCTCCTCTGACAGCAAAATTTAATTATGAGAATATCAAACAATGAGACACTATAGATTTTATTATGGCATGAGATAGTGACATTCTTTCCTGAATAATTAAACTGATATTTGATCATTTACTTCAGAGCCTCAATACTATAGTATACTGGGCAATTTTTAACACTCAACCAACTTGAAGTCCATAACAGGGGTGGATGTGTGCCTCAATGGTACAGCTTATGCGTAGCACTGTGAGGCTCTGGGTTCAATCCCCAGCACCTAAGTAAATGTATGTATGTATGCATGTATGTTCACAGCTGGCAAAACCTATACTACAAAGGGAATTGACTTTCATGAAGATCAACAGTTAGTGTGTCTCTACACCTTACCCTAACATGATACAGTTAATTGATGTATTTAGAGTTTTAGTATGCGAATTTACACAATGATAAATCCAAGGACTACAAATTCTCATTTCTTATCTCAAAACTACTACGGCAAAAGGTAGTTTATTACAATGTTCATCAGGCAAACACATGGAAGTAGAGAAACAACTTTCTACAACAGTAATGTATCCAGTCATTGAGTAAGCTATAGTAGCAAG